TGGGCCTGATCCCTGGCAGCAGGTGTTGAGTCAGAGCATCTTGCCCAGTGGCCAGTGTCATCTGCAATTCAGGTGGCGTCTTGTTGTTGTTCCATATCTTCTTTGGAGACCTTGGGAGTCATTGCTAGGAGCTGGGAGTCTCTGTTTGTATATAGTAAGCTTTTTATCAAATAATTTAAATGCCATAGTCATCAGGTCTTTGATGGGTTTGAGGACCATTATCTACTAAATATATCTGAGCTAAACAAATCTAGGCCTAATCTTCAAAACATCTCTAAGTTTGGTAACAACCTGGCTAATTTGTTCTCCTGTATATATATTAGTCAAATGCACCTCTCAGGTTCTGTTTTTTTCTTTTTATTTAAATAGAACAGTGTATGCTTTAAACTAGTATCTAGATAGCCGGATGACTAGTATTAACTTGTGTTCCTTAACACAAAGGACATGCAAATTCAGACATTCAAAACTAAACATACATGTGGCCACATTTTCATTCATACCTGCAGGGTAGACAGACATTTTTAAAACTATGACCCTTTGGAGTCTCAATGTAACAGCAGACTAGCAAGAGAAAGAAATCTGAAACATGTTTCATTCTTTTATACACCTTAAGTCACTTTTTTATCATTACTTAAGCCTCTTTACCCTCAGATCTTTATATCTTGCATTTTACATACTTTCCTTCTTCCCAAAACATTCTTTTTATATTCCCATACCTAAAACCTTTACATCTTAGACCCTACATAAATTTTACTTATACTCAAACCTTACAACTTACTTAAACTTTAGAGTTAGACTTTCAAGTTCCATATTTTTATACCTCAAACTAATTCCTCAGATCCAAAATATCATACTCAAACACTCATGACACACTTAAGATTTCAAATTTTTACATCTTAAGCTAATTCCTCAAACCAAAAAATCATTTATTTAAACTTTTATCTTTATATCTCAGACCTTTATATTTTTATAAAAACATTACATCTTAAAACATCTTTTTTTATTTAATTCATTGAGCTATCCTTTACTTGGAATTTGA